CTCCTAGGCATATAGTATCCTATTCTCATGTAATTTTCAATTAAAATAACATTCGAACCAGCTCATTAATCATTTCCTGGAACCATCCAATAAGAATAATCTACCACATTTTTACAAAAGCTGAATTTTAATTTGCTTAAAAAGATATCTTATATTATTTTAGAGCAAATCAATACACCTGGATAAAAACAGCGGTATGCTAACACGTGATACTATCACTTTAATATATAATTATTCTTAATTCCACCTGCAGAATGGAATGTTTATAACTATATATTCTTTAGTTAACTAAGATTTCTAATTATTGAAATCTGACCGTGATTTATCCAGTCATATATCATGCTATTAGATTTTAATTAATTTAGATTAATTAAATAAAACCAGCATAATTACCAGTTATGTAGATATTCTTATCAGATGAGTAGGTAGTCCCAGAAACTTGCATGCAAGTATGATTGGTTGTATGGAGGTGTGCAAGTAATAGAGAAAAGTGGTGTTGGTTAGAAAGTATCAGTAAAATTTTAAGTGTCAAGGAGTGTTTCTTGAGTTGGGTCCAAGAGAGTTTGAGAGTTGAATGTTGGTCCCAGAGAGTGTCCCGAATCTGAATCCCCAAACTACCCTTCTCTTTTCCCTTTGTCCTAACTTTTAAAGGGCCAGACTCTCTGTACGTCATTAGTTGATAAGGCCAATAGGATACTGAAGGTGTGGTCAACCTGCAGATGGCAATTTAGGTATTTGATCCATAGAGTGTAGTCTCGTCTTACTAAACCTTCCTATCCAGGAAAAAGTTAACTTTTCCTGATGATGATTTTGACTACCATAACTTAAATTTGCTGTCAGTTCAATGCGTTTGCTTCAGTCTTTGTGGCAACTACTTTGATCGTAATTTCTAAAATTGACAGTTCTAAACTCAATTTCACCCCTTACCTACAATGGGACCATGTAAAATTTAGAAAGTAAAATTAATTACTTAGTCTTCTCTGTCACTAGTGTCTGTGTTTAAAATTATTTCTATTCCACTAACATTTAAACAGAGCATTCCATCCCCCTGCTTCATTGCTTATCACTTGGCGTGTTTACATAATGCATTCCTTAGCTCAGGCTAGTGGCTATTTACAGAAAGGAAAATACATTTTTGTGTCTGTCTTGCCTGAAATCCAAAATGGAGTCCGCTCTGTTCTTAGTGACTCTGGCAATATACACTTTTAAATTCTATCTTAGCACAAAACGTCTGCCGATATAAATATCCTGACACTACTATTGAATCACCTAATCCAATGGATACAGTTGTAATATCACACTTACACAAAAAAATATAGTTTTACAATTTACAAAGCTACTAAAAATCTATCTTAACAAACATGGGAATTCAGTTACACCATATGGCCATATCATGTTAAGTCTTCCAATACATCACAGTACCCTAGTTAAATTTTAACATTGAAGATTAACATTCAATTTGCACTTTTTTCTGCTTAAACTGCTTCCGGAGAGTCTCCTCAATTTATGCTTTGCTGTGGTCACCTCCAAATTGGTACCTATAGTGCATGGGTGGGGTGCTCACCCCAATAAGAATCTGGTCTGGATGCCAAATATATACAGAAAAAAAGAAGAATGTGGGGCATACCTGGAACATGCATTTCTAAGTCTTACAGCAGCACCATTTGCTGATTTACCGATATGTGTTTTTTTTATTTCTAGAGTGAAAAATGATTTGATTTGCAGTGTGCTTCAGTGTCACTGCTTGGGCTTTGTAAATTGCAAACTTCTTCCCTCAATTGTATTCAGTGTTTGACAGTTTAATGTAGAAGTGGATCCTGCCTCCTATTAAGGTGGCAGGTCTTTTTTAAAACTCTTTGCAAACATTATTATCCATACCTATTGTCCAAAAAGGCAAACTAAGTTTCTTATTTGAACCAACCAAAATAAAAAAATTCTGTAATCAAACAGCCTCTCTCCATTCTATCCATCTTTTTTTCTGGTGCCCGAGTCTCACAGTGTGGTGTTACCTCTGCAGATGCAGAGCTGTTGTTTTCCATATTGAAAGACAGTTACTCACACTTGAGACTGGATGTGTGGAAAAGCTTTGTTCTTCTCAGGGTGAAAGGTATGAGTGGTCTGTCAGTTGCCCACTAAATGTTCCCCATGATTTTTTTTTTTTAAATCCAATTTAGATTCCCCTTCATTGACTTTATCTATAGTGGTTTTTCCCTGCCTGTGCCTTGCAGTGTGGCTATCACTGATAACTCTGCAAGGAAAAAAATATTTTGCTTTTGCTGCTAATCCCCTTTTTTAAATTAATATAAAATTGCAAAAGAAAAACAAAGTTTGTTGACTTTCTATTCTTTACTAATACAGATTTAATAATATTATTTTTGAAAACTCACAATTTGGCATTGCAAAAATGCCTTTTAAAGTGTAAATGATATGTCCAGATGCTGACCTTTTACTAATTGTACATAGTAAAATAAAGCATTTCTTCTAGCAAATGTTTACAGAAGAACCTTATGAAATGTCCCAGGGTGGGCAGAGATGTACATTCTCAGCTGATCCTGTTTCACACATTTTTTGTCTCACTCGTAATGTACTTTCTTAGCAAACATTCCACTATTTAGCAAACATTCTACTAATAATGCTGATTAGTGTGTGTATATATATATATATACACACACACACATACTAATCAGCATAATAAATGGTGATGCTGCGTTACTTGCTCAGGCTGAATCTTATTGTGTTCTAGGAGCCGTAATTGGTTCTACTGTTAGTGTTTTTCAATGACATGTATTCACAGCACAGAAGGTATCTTGCAGATGTATGGATATTTGAGCAGAATGTGACTCATCTTAGAAAAAACTCATGAAAATGTTCCCATTCATCATGGAGAGAATGACACTGACAACTATCTGCAGCAATTTATCAGCGAGGATTGAGTGGCAGAAACCGTTACAAACAAAACCCTCAAAAACAATTGCATCAGTGACATGTTTTATTCATTATATTTAATGGGACTCTCCAAGGCCTGGTATAGTTGTAAACTTTTTGGATACTGGAGACTAACAGCAGTTATAAATGAACATTCATTATTTATTCATTAGATAACATATTCTCTACATTGTGTTATGTGTAAATGTAATAAATAAAGAAAATAATTGTGCTACAGAACGACTTACAATTAACGAAAATAATTGTTTTAAAAAGGAAAATTGACCTTTGGCACATCTAACAGTCCAAGGAAACCGGTTGTAAACCTCTTCAATTTGATATTCACTTAAAAATATCAGAAATGTGGGCAGCTCATAGTTTAAGTATTCTAGTCTCCTTAGTCGTTTAAGGGGCCACTGACTCTTAGGGACACAATCCAATCACTTGGCTGAAGTAGTTAACAGGCACTCCATATCTGTAAAATGTTGACAAGCACTATCATGTTCCAAGGCTTGTTTAAGAGAAGGGTACTTAATATGAGCAAGTACTCAGCATTGTTTACTTAAATATAAACAATACAAAATAGGAGCACAAAGTTGCTATGAGATGCAGAATTTAATAAATATGTAGTTATGGATATTTATATCACATGAAAACTAAATAATTGTTATGATGGTAAAAATAATAGTAGCTCTGTATGGCATAAAAAGTATTTTTGCAATAGTCTTGTAAAATTAAATAATTACATCAGCATATGTTTGGTAAAACTGGACATTTTTAAAACAGGTCAGTGTTGCCAATAGTTACTACAAATTGCTTACAAAATGCAAAGTAATACAAAAACACTCATTTAAATGAGAATTCTGAATATTCTCATGCATCTTTTATATGCAAATGGTAAATGTTTACATTAACAAATTGTAAGTTTTAGAGTTTAAAGAGAAAAAAAAAAGAGAAAAATAAAAAACGAAAGCCAGGCTCTCACACATATATACGTTTAACCTTGTTTAACCTTTTTTGAAACAGTACATTTGAGGAGTAGCAGAACAATCTGAGGTGCAATTCAGGGTTAACTGATTAGGATGCCTCCTATGGTAAGCCCTGATTTTTCTGGCTTGTTCCCTCCGGATCATACCTCTTTCAGTAAATTAGGCATTGTAATCGTCCATGATGTCTCCTAGAATCTAAGATCTTATGGACTTTGTATTCTTCTGATCCATTGACAATTATAATGATTGGGTCATGGGAGGGGATATTCCACAGAGTTAATCAGTTCATTTTCCAGGGATACATGGAGTACTTGGTGTAACTTGTTTTCTGTATGGAGGTCTAAGCACACAACTACAGGGTTGATGACTTTAATCTTAGTCATAGGGCCAATGTAGCAAGATCTTAATTTCTTGGAAGGATAGGACATTTGCAGATTTTGTATGGACAGTCAGACTTTGCCACCAGTCATTTACAAGGGCACTAGGGAATGTCTTATGTCTACATGTTCTTTGTAGCACTATTGTGCTGTTACCAGGGCTTTTTGTAGAACATGCCTCTGGAGGCATAGTGTGTTTATGTGGTGGGCAAAATCAGGAACCATTGTGGGACAGGAGGATCAGGAAGGGAAGTGGATGGCATCCATAGTTGGCAAAGAATGATGTGAATTTACTGGAGTGATGGAGATGATTGTTGGAGGAGAAATCTGCAGTAGGGAGCAAAGATAGCCAGTCATTCTAAAGCGATGTAGTATAACAACAAGGGTATTGTTCAAGTGGTTTGATTTGTTTACTCTGTCTGACCATTCAATTTGGGGGAGATAAGCTGAAAACAATCAATGTTGTGGATGAATGTCGACAGAAGTGATCCCAAGAGTGAGATGTGAACTGTGAACTACAATTTGTGTTAATGGAGCAGGATAGGCGACACAAACCATAAATCTCTTGTAAAAAGATGGTAGCAGTTTAGGCTGTGATTGGCAATCCAATTTAAAAGTGAGCCATCTTTGTAAAATGGTCAATAAGAGTTATAAGAATAAGAATAGAGTTATGTTTGTGAGAAGGTAGAAAACCACAATAAAGTAAATTGCTAGATCCTTCCAAAAACTTGAGGGAATGGAAGTAGGTTGGATTAATCTGGCAGGTCCAATCTTTTGAGACTTTGACCGAGGACATACTCCACAGGAAAGGATGTACCCTCTTGTGTTTTGTGTTATTGATGCCCACCAGAAGTAATGGCAGATGCTTTCTCAGGTACTGGTTACTCCTTCATGCCTTGTTGATAAAGTGTCATGAAACAATCTTAGAACATCAGGACGGATCCATGGTGGGAAGTAAGCTAGAAAACCATGATACCACAGGCTTTGCTTGGAAATTAGAAAAGGGTAGATTGTGGGAGATTGAGCACTTGAGGCACACATGTGGCCCAAAAGAGACATCTGTGTGGTTAGAAAGTGTTGTGGAGGAATGATGGTATCCTGGGCTAGGATCTTAGTACATACAGGATGAAGAGCCTCCTTTTTGCTTTCTGGCTCCTGGATGATAGATTAGCTGAAGATTGAAACAGGGCAAAAACAGGACCCATCTGGATTGCGGAGGGCAGAGTCAAATAGCTAACCAAATATATTCCCAATTCTGGTGATCAGTGTATACTGTAACTGGCAAAGAGGAACCTTCCAAGAGATTTCATATCTCTTCCAGGGTACACTTGATGGCAAGCAATTCCCTTTCTCCAACATCAAAGCTTCTTAAGGTTGGTGATAACATACATGAATAACACACTAACAAATCTAGACAGTTGTATTTCTCTCCTCTTTGAGACATGTGCATCCCAAGGCTATTCCAGAGGCATCAACCTATAAGAAAAATACTTTCAAAGAATTACTTTGCACTAAAATGGGGGCTTGATTAAAGAGGTTCTTGAGGTTATCGAAGGCTGTTTGAGCCTGGGGTGTCCAAGAGAATGTACGGGAAAGCCAAGCATCTTAAACAAAAGGGCAAGGCAGAAAAGCAGTGGCAAAGATAGTCGGAAGGTCTGAGTAGGCGGCAGGAGCTAATGTCAGTAGGAAAGTCAAATACTGGTAATCAGTGAGGCACAAGTGTAGCTATTGGAGACTGAGACTAGGCTACAGAACACCTGTGCAATCACTGGAGAGAGTGAGTGGAATTTAAAGGGCTGAAATGTCACATGGCCGACCTCTCCTCCTGCAGGCGGAGTTACAGCATCCTATAAACTTGATCATGGTACTCAATGCCATGTTGAATGCATCATCATCCTTGCTCCACTCTAAGCTCCACTCTCTACATTCACAGCCACCCTGGCTGGGTTTCCTGCATGGTGGCCTCCATCTTGGAGACTCATGCCGGCTGTCAGATCAGCAGATGTTGCAAAATTCTGTCCCAAAGCCATGGGCTCTAGGCTTGCACCTAGTCAAACTCGTGGACGCAGTGGGTGCTCCAGGAAGGTAGGAGAGCACCGTCGTCCTTGACGCAGACTTGACAATTCTCATAGCTTCAGTCCAATATTAAAGTTTCCTAAATTCCTATATGTGTGTATGTGTTGTGGGGTGCATTGGCAACTGCACAATAAAATATGTGGCAAGATTTTCTGTGGGTCAGTATAGGCAAAATGTATTATTCCCAACCTTATGTATGCACATTATAGCTGAATTGAGCTTCTATACTCTGGTTACAGCAATTACAAATACTATTTCATTCAGTATCCCAAACACCACAGTGGGGACTGGGAAACTTAATGGAACATTCTAAGTACCAAAACTACTTTAGCTTATTGAACCGGTTTTAGTGTATAGAGCAGAAATAGAGTCTGGGTACTCAGGCATTATCTATTTATTCCTAACGCTATAGTGTTCTACACCCTATGTAGGGTCCCCTAAAGTAAATTTAAAAAAGGGTTGTACTCACCTTTTTTACAGTGCTGAGACTTACTCTGTGCAGCTGCCCACTCCAGTGATGATGTTCCTCATGCAATCTTTTCTTTGTCATTTTTTCCAATTTAATGCTTCTCATAAAAAAGCATTGTGTGCGAGATGCATTGTGTGTTGAGTTCTGCGCTTGTGAATTCAAATGCATCTCATAGGAAAACATTGAATCCAATGCTTCCCTATGATCAGTAATAAAAGATGAAAACTGAAAGGGTTAACTGGTTTAATATTTAGCCTCTAATAGCATGCCTTTCCACATTAATAAAATGAATAACTTTGAGACTGGACAAGTCATTATAAGTTTCATTTTCAGTTGAATTTGGGGGAAAACACTTGACGCTTTTGTTGTGTTGAGCTATTGCAATTGCTTCTGTTTGATTTATTCATTAGTAAACAAAAAAAGGTTGATCGAGGGTTCACACAAGTAGACCCAAGATCATTGTATGGATATCTTTATAAATGGTCTAAATAGAATTAAATAAAAACATACTTTATTTATTACAAATATACAAAATGAACAATCACTCAAAAGAAAAAATATATGTGAATCCTAGAGGGGAGCTACAGAAACTCAAAAATTGTCACAAAAGCATATGGAGCAGTCAAGCGTCAAAAAACTAGAGGTAAGGTAAGGGAGTCTTTAGACCAGTGGCAGTCAACCTTTTTCCACTTACCGCCCACTAATGCATTTTTCTTGATGGAAAAATGTCCTTACCGCCCACCAGTTTTCGCGCAAGCGCTGAATATTTTTTTAGAAAGGAGGGTGTTTTAAAAAATAAATAAATAAATGAACGTAATTTATCTTTTTATTTCTACTTTATGCATGTTTATAATGTTTTTAACTTTATAAAGTTTAACAAGGAAGCAATAAAGTAAATTGAAATTACCTTTACTAGTGATTAATGAGATCCTTGAGGTTGATGCTGCGAGACTAAATATTTAATATCTGGTTCGATTTTCGTAAGGAACAAACGAAGGTCTCTTTCGGTGATATTCAGAAGACTTCTCTGTTTGCTCATAAAATGATTTCTCATCTGTGCGTCAGCTCCCCTCCTCTCCCTCCTCAATTCCCCTCCCCACCTTTTTTTTTCTTCCTTTTTTCTATTTTTTAACCTTCCTTATAGTAATGCCTAGTAGGAAGGCTGAGCTAGATAGCCCACTTACAATTATTAGTCAACAACAATTATCTCCTATTCCTTTTCTTTCTTTCTCCTTTTTTTACAAGTACTCTACTCCTTCTTTCTCCTAATGTACAAGTACTCTGCACCTTCTTTCTCCTTTTTACAAATACTCTGCTCCTTCTTCTATTCTACACGTACTCTGCTCACAGACAAACACACTCACATAGAAACACATACACACAAACATACACATACTCACACAGACACACATACACTAACAGACACACACACTTACAGACACAAACACACACTTACAGACACACACACGTATACTTACAGACACACACACACACATATACTTACAGACACACACACACATAAACTTAGTGACACACACACACACACATAAACTTACTGACACACACATATATACTTACTGACACACACACATATACTTACAGACACATACACACACACATATACTTACTGACACACACACACACACACACACACATATATACTTACAGACACACACATACACTTACAGACACACACATATACACACAAATTATTAATATTATATGTCCACCCAGCCTTCCTACCTGGAGAGCTGGTGTGGATCTGTCCCTGGTGTCCAGTGGGGTTTCACTTCGGCGGGCGGCTGTGTGCCAAACAGACGCGGCGAGGGAGCTCTAATCTCTCTGCACTGCTCCCTCGAGAGCTGTCTACTGATGCCGGGAGCCGGAATATGACGTCATATTCCGGCTCCTGTGGCATCAGCAAATATCGCGCGAGGGAGCAGTGCAGAGAGGTTAGAGCTCCCCTGCCGCCTCGGATTAGAACTCTGCCGCACCTGGGGGTCCAGAAGGTGGCCTGGCAGGAGGGAGCACTTCCTCCTGCCGGTCACTGAAAACTTGCACCCGCAGAGCCGCTTGCACCCGCCCAAAAGGAGAAATCCTCTTAAAAAGAGGATTTAGCTGCCGAAATCCCTACCGCCCACCTGGAATCCTGAAAAGCCCACTAGTGGGCGGTAGGGACCAGGTTGACGACCCATGCTTTAGGCTAAGTAGCTATATTTTAGTCATTTGCAACATTGTCTGACTCAATGATGACGTGTGTTCTTTTCACCATTAGACTGTAAGATGGAGAGATAGATTACCTCAGGTGCTACTCACTCTAGTCAGTACAAGCTAGTGTTTTACTTCTCCTTCTATACCTTGAGTAGTGATGTCGCGAACCCAAAATTTTCGGTTCGCGAATGGCGAACGGGAACTTCCGCAAATGTTCACGAACCGGCGAACCGCCCGAAACGCCATTGACTTCAATGGGGAGGCGAATTTTAAAACACACAGGGACTCTTTCTGGCCACAATAGGGATGGAAAAGTTGTTTCAAGGGGACTAACACCTGGACTGTGGCATGCCGGAGGGGGATCCATGGCAAAACTCCCATGGAAAATTACACAGTTGATACAGAGTCTGGTTTTAATCCATAAAGGGCAGAAATCACCTAACATTCCTAAATCACAATCAATATGGATTGACACCTGACATATGACATATTGACACCTTGACATATGGATTGACACCTGTCCTCAGAGCCCCTGATGCACACGGACACAGAGCAGAATAGAGACTGGTCCCCCTACATAGGGTCACTTGGCAGATATGGATTGACACCTGTCCTAAGGATCCCTGATACACACTGACACAGAGCAGAATAGGGACTGTTTCCCCTGCATAGGGTCACTTGGCAGATATGGATTGACACCTGTCCTAAGGTTCCCTGATACACACTGACACAGAGCAGAATAGGGACTGGTCCCCCTACATAGGGTCACTTGGCAGATATGGATTGACACCTTGTTACAAACTGCTATTTGTAACGGGCCCTTTAAATGGCAAATTGCCCTGCTTCCCTGGGTTGTGGAGAAGCCTATTTGCCAGCCTCCTCCCGCATGACTATGGCCCCTGGGAGATTGTGAAAATGTATGCACTTTTATTTGGTGTGTATGGCCCTTTAAGACTGTCGGTGGGCATATTGGGGCTTATGGACTCTTTATGTGACTGGTGCTGGCCCTTTAAACACCTTTTTTGGGACATCAGGAAGATTGGGACACTGCCCCTTTAAGGCCGTGTCCCCAGACTTGTTGGGGACACGGCCCCTTTAAGACGGTGTCCCCTGTGTCCCCAGACCTGGTGCAAACCCTTTGTGCCTGCCTTGCTATTTTCCACTTGGTTCAGTAAATGGGAAATTATTTCA